GTGTGTGTGTGTGAATGCCTGTCTTTATCTCCGTGTCACTGTGTGGCCACAGGACGTCAAACAGCAGCGCCACACTGTCCTCATGTGTGTCGATGGAGCCGTGTGCGTGTGCAGAGGAGTGCATGTTCACCGCTTTATCCCACGCCGACGTCACCTTCGGTAAGATGGAGGGATACCTGAGGTCCAGACAGCTGTGTGATGTCATACTGGTGGCCGGGGACAGGCGGATACCTGCGCACAGGTAGGACACACTAAACATGCATTACAAAAATGTACGTCATTAGGGCTGCAACTGATAGTTATTCTCAATATCGGGATTAATCTCTTTGTTACTATGCCACTAAAAAGATTTAATGGCATCTAGCGGTGTAAATGCAGATTATAACATCCTCGCTTCACCTTCCTGTTTAAAAACGTGTGGGAGAAACTACAACGGTGGCAAAACTGCCAGAGGCCCTATTTAGAGCCACTGTTTGGTTTGTCCGTTCTGGGCTTCTGTAGAAACATGGCGGTTCAATATGGCAGACTCTGTAAAAGAGGACCTGCTCCCTCTGTAGAAACGGCTTATTTCTAAGGTAACAAAATCACAAAAGATCGTATGTTCAGGTGATTATGCACTAATAAAAACATAACAGAATATTATATTCCATAGATCCAAATGTTACAGACTGGACCTTTTTAAATTACATCTTTTGTCAGTCCAAAACCCATAGATATTCAATTTACTGTAAGCATTAAGCATTAGCGCATTAAATCCACACATTTAAAAAACTTTGTAGTTGCCAAATGACTAAACGCATAATTCAATTTATCAGAATTATAGTTAAATAAGAACTCATTTTAGTATTATATTTGACAATGTCCTTCCCCAGTGTAAGAAAATGGTGTAATACCAGTGCTGTGACAGAATAAAAGATTAGATGACAACTAGGATCATCATAAACTGCTTTTTTACATTATTTTGTTTCAGTTTTTCACATTGTGAAAATGTTGTTTCTTTCGAGCAGATGTATAGCAGTTGTCTATATACGAGATACTGACAAATGCACACACACACACACACAGACACAGACACAGATGTGCAGTGAAGCATAAATCCATAAAGAGGTGAAGGAATTAATCAGTGATGAAAATCATTTTGCACCTATTTTGATCAAATTTTGGTCAAATAATTGTCACTCTTGATGGAAAAATGCCAAACATGCTTGTGATGCTGGTTTCTATCTACTTTCAACCTTTCTGTGTTTCATATTATTGCAAAATTTCTATTTTTTAAACAAAACCCCCCATGCGCTGCCAACAGCAGTCAGGTGCTGGTAGGTCCCAGGACCATATAATAAGAAATCTGAATTAACTACCGCACACTGGAGTGACTTTACTGTGATTTATTTAAGAGCAAACAACGCGTTTCACTTCCACCTTCACTCAGCCGCAAGGAAGCTGCAAGCGAAACGCGGTAAATAAATCACAGTAAAGTCACTCCAGTGTGTGGTGGTTAATTCAGATTTTTATGTATATTTTTGTGTTTTGGACAAATATGCCACCTCGGGATATGATAAGTTATGATGGGCCTTTTACAGACAAAACAGTTGACTAATCTAGATGAAATCCATAATGAAAAACATCAAGCCGTTTACTACTGTGCACACATGCAGCAGCAGCATTATGATTAACTCTTGCATGCAATGATGGCACATTCATCAACATCTGAACACACACATACACAGGACACTGTTTGGAAATAATCACACACAGCAGAACCACAGTCATGCTCATAAAAGTCCCTTTTTATTTTTGTAGTCTCTCCATGCCACAAATAGGCAACTGAGCCTCTGAATCATGCATCAGACAAACACACACACACACACTCCTGTCACCCACCTCACAGCCCCTACTACACTGTGCTTTGGCTGTTGCTCTCTGGGCATGTGGCCACTGGTGCAGCAGCAGGGTCCATCTGCACAAGGATGAGACAGAAGAGTGGTCCTCCACTCGCAGAAAGACTCCTTTTCTCTCACTGCCATCCTCTTTTGGCTCATTTCATTTAGTCCTCCAGGCACAGATGGTGACAAACAAAAGACCCTGCTGTAAGAGAATCCTAATGGTGTATGCGAAAGAGTGCGTTCTCGTCTGAAGATGTGTTCTTGTGCCAGCAAGGGGGTAGGAGTAAGACATCGTTGTTTGAAAGTGGTTGTTTTGTTTGCAATTGATTTATTTCATGTGTAGGATAAAAGAGCTTTTCTGGGAACAAAACATACACCCTCTTTCTCTCCTTCTCTGTCTTACATGTACACACAAACAAATCCACTCCGCACATGCTGAATAGGCCACTTGTACTGTATATAGCAGCAAAATTCCTGTGGAGTTTGTTGCAAGCAGTGCAGTTTGAGCATACTCAAGCTGTATATGTACTTTAAAAAAGTAGAGCATAATTATACACGTTGTCTCTGGGGCTGTACCTTACAGAAATAGATTATGTTGCAACTCTGTTTTTCTACCCCCATCTGGACACCAAAGTCAACATCATCTGTACTACATGTCATGGCCGTCCATCCGATAGTTGTTGAGATATTTAAGCCAACTGACCAAAAGGCAAACTGACATGTTTTCATCCCTAGTGCCACGCCATTAGGGAGGCTAAAACAGATACTCCTCCTGTACCTTTTATTAGTGAGTATATGTAGAAAAAAGTCGTAATAGTTGAGTAAGTCTCTTCTACCAGCTCTCCTGTTGTTTTCCCCTCTGTTTTTCCACTGCTGTATCTCTGCACCAAGCAGCACATCCACACAAACACAAACAGACACACAGTGTTCAGTTTCCAGCTCTTGCCCTCCTTTCCTGAGTCCAACTCGTCTGTTTCCTGCTCTCTTCACTCTGGCATTTTGTCTACTCTGTGCTCTTTCCATTATAGTGTGACACACTGCCTGCCATGTCTCTGTCTTCAGCAAGGTGCATTTGTGTGTAAATAACCCAGTGCTGTATATAGCCTGTGTCGCTCACTGCAAGTCAGACAGAGACCCACATGAAAAATTAAGGAGTGAAATTGTGTGTTGTGTGTGTGTGTGTGTGTGTTGAAAAGAGGCAGAGATAAGAGATACCGAACTAGAATACTGGCGGAACAACTTCCTGCTGACTATAGTATATTTTGACATCTTTGTCTGTAAAATACACACACACACACATACACACAGTGTTGTTCTCTGCTTCAGGCTATCTGTCAAGGTCCCAGTCTCACACTCAGTACTGAGAGTGTAGACATGTATTAAGTACACACACATCCAAGGATGTTGACCGTGAAGTCAACAAACACGCAATCAGCAGAAAATTGTAATTACACTCTTTTAACATTGAAATCTGTTCTTACAGCTGGCACACAGAGCTCTGGTGTGAGGACATTAGAAACTGTGAAACCCTGCAGTGATCTGGACTGTACTGTATATGTCACTGTCACTTTGCAGCCATTAAACGGTCACCACCTCATTTACAAAGTCATCTCCAAGAGCAAAGAATGACAAATACTGCTCATCAAATGTTAAATAACAAGTACTTTCCGGTACTTTTTTAATATCTTGATGTTTGTGTGTGTTTAACTTCACCGTGACATGAAAGGGTAATGGATTGGTGCGGTGGGGGAATTAATTAACCATCCTTACCATTGACCTTGAGATAATTCCTCTCTGTCCTTCATCTGGCTTGCTTTCTATTATTCCATATATCGTCTTTCTCAGACTCCTTAACCACTAAATTTAGATTGACCTTACATTAAGCCTCTCTCTCATCTCTCTCTCTCTCTCCGCGTCTCCTCTCGTCTCTCTCTCTCTCTCGCTCGCTCGCTCGTCCGTTCATCACCTCAGCTGCTGCTGCTATGATTGACACATGCAAATTGAATAATGTCCTCTCTGACTGCACAGATTGGCGTGTCTTTTATACTGCATGTCAGTACTTGATCTGGGCAGAGTTGTGTCTCCTTTCATATTATTTTATGCGGACACATCTGTGTTAAAAGATCTTTTTTATTTAAATAACAAGCCATGTGTAACTAAGGAATTAAAAAATGTAGAAAATAGTAAGGCAAAAAAACACAGCATGAAATAAGGAAACAAAGACTATAGACAGTATAGGTGGAAGTACAGTATAGTACAGTATAGTACTGACCTTCGATCACTACAGCCTTATGTTATGTCTTAATTATGTCATTTATTTTGCCTCTTGTTGTATCACTATGTTAAGATGATCAGTGGCTTCAGATTGCGACTTTGTAAATGTGAGAAAAGCTCCAGGCCCTTATGGCATCTGTGTGTACATTCTTCCATTCTTTAGTTTCACATAATTAGAGATCTTCTCATGTGGCGCTGGTAAAGGATAAACAACCCTAAAAAAATAAATGCGTTCAGTCTCCCTTATGACAATTTATATTAGATATTACAAACTTGGTTCTATTGAGGGAAAACTTGCTCCACTGCAGTTTGACTATCAGGCATTTAAATGTCTGTGGGCATCAAGCTCTTTATTCTCAATATGTTCACTATGCACAGACATCTGGAGATGCCTCGGGCCTATGCCAGGCTTTTGTTTGCACAGGTTTTCTCTAACAACATCTCTTCAGAGACAGGAGTATACAGGAGGAGTCCCATTTGCAAGGTATTTATTTCTTTAGGGGAAGTCAGGTGATTTAATATTTAATATTACATTCACTAATGAGAAATTTCAATTCTGTTTATACTGCGTATGTGTAGGTTTTTCCCCCTCTACCACTGTAGTAATTATTGTCCATTTATTGTCTGTCTTTCAACACACTTGTTGGTCCTCTTATAACTGTTTGGAGAGATAGCAGACGTTACAAGATGTGCATTTCTCTCTCTCTGTCTCTCTCTGTCTCTGCATGTTTTAACTTGTCCTTCGACAGCCTTCATGGTAATTTGACAGCATTTAATTCAGACTTGTGCTGTGTTGAAAGTGTGAAAGTGATCAGGGTACTTATTTAGACATGAGACCAACATGTTAAATTGCCATCAGATTATCAAAAAGGGTTCTGAAAAGGGCTTCAGTCTATCAAGCAATGATATAGAATAGATTAGATAAGAAAAAAAAAAAAACATTAAAATCTTTGCTCAGTCTTGTGTGAATTAGTTGGAAATGTAAGTGTGTTCCTCAGTAAGATTGAGTGAAGCTCTCACGTTTATGCTGTAAAAACCACAGACGTACGTGACATTTATCTGATCTCCGGATGCCCTAACATGTTTTTTGTTGTGACTTTTACCTTTTAATTTTGACACCCGCAATACTTTCCAGCTCCTAATGTATGTAACGGCCACCTCATAACCCCACTTTCCACTTTTGCAAATGAATGTTGTTTTCATGCAAATGTAGACTTTTATTAAACTAGAAATACACGTGTGGTTTTAATTTCCACTACCATACCATGTACTTTTTCAGCTGTTGTTTTTTTATGTATGCAGACCACTTTTGACACCTACAGATTATTAGCAACTACGACATACAACGTCAAAAGGCAAAAGTGGTTATTGCGAACAGTCACAACCACAGCACACAACCCCACTAGTTCTGATGTTGAAGAAGTGTGGGGGCAGGGGGTTTCAGACACTGTTCGCACATCCAACAAGCATACTGATACTAACTTGACTCGCATGTGCATCTCAACTCAAAGAAAAGGAGCCTGAGAACCAGTTCCCAACCGCATAATAACATAAAATAAAAAACCCAGTTTATTTGAACTTTGAAAAAATGCCTCTTAAATAACAAATAAGTAAGGACTCTTCAATGACTGTTCAATAGTAAAATAATGAGGTAATAATAAAGGTAAATAAATGGGGAAGGGCTTTAATAAAAACAAAACCATAAACAAATAAGTAAGCCTCTAGACTGAGCCAATATATTTACAGGATGATGATGTTATGTTTAATCTGATTCTGTCCTTGTTTCCAAGCTGCCCTATCCCTCTCTGTTCAGCATCTTTTCCCTGTCAGTCCAGCCTTGTCCTGTCAGCAAGGTCGAAGCCTTCTGCACCTCGCTTACAGCTGTCCATCCTCTCTGACTGATGCCTGACACTCTCTCCCCTCACAGACTGGTCCTCTCATCCGTGTCCGACTACTTTGCGGCCATGTTCACCAGTGATGTTCGGGAGGCCAAGCAGGACGAGGTGAAGATGGAAGGAGTGGACCCTGATGCACTGTGGGTCCTAGTGCAGTATGCATATACAGGTACACAGACACACTGATTGCCTAGATGCTACTTTATTATTTTTCAAGATGTTGGATTTTCTGTCTACATAGGAGGCGTAGCATGAGCAGCACGTTAGCAGAGCCGCAGCTTCTGTGCTCCATCTGCGTCTACACACGATGCATTCAGGCACAGTATTGAGTGCAGGTCACCCGCTGTTTGACGGGGCTCAGAGCTCAACACACAATCACTGTAGTTACATGTGTAAAACAGAAGGAAAAAGACTAGAAGTGGAAAAATATGAGTGTGAGTAAAAAGCAAGCCGTTACATTGCCTGTGTAGACAGCTGTACTGGTTAAAATAGAAGCGTATATTTTCCATCAGACGTCCGTGAAACAGATGAGTAAAGAAACACAGCTGAATCACCTTCTATGTAGACACCCTGTTAAAGGATGAGGCTGGTGATATTCTTTATTTTTCATATTGTCAAAAAATCTAATGAAAAAGTTATTATTATATATACAAGTATTGCCTGATAAAGCGTCACAGAGCTCCAAAAACTATTAAAAATACATCAGTGAACCAAATTGTTGCACTGGTAGACATTGTTACCATGAACATAGGCACTGGCACTGCAGTCGATCCCATACATACTTACCTGCTGCTGTAAATACTCGCTAGCACAGCAAATGTGTATTAATCCATAACTGAAAATAGTCCCCCTCAAACTAATTACTCATATGAACATTTGTTAAAAATTACAGTGCCTAGCTGTTTTAGGAAATAACTTAGGAAGCTTTTTAAAAATGTATATTTGTGATCCATTATTGAAAATGATCATCAGTGCCATAGATGAAGTAACACAATGTTACCATCAACCTGACAGCAACTTTGTTCAGATTCATCTGAGGACCATGGGCAGTAGCTGAGTGTACATGCAGCCTCATCTCCGCAGCCTCAGCCTCAAACTGATGGTTTGGTTAATGCACTGTACGCAAAATTCAGAATAGACTTTATTTTTATAGTAGTGATAGTAGACAAACGGACGACTCTATGTTTACACCACTGCATCAAATATTTTTTGGATTGCCAAGGTAATCCCGTCAGTAGGTGTACTTAACTTCTAGTAGTTTTTGGTTTAGGTTTAAGGTGAAAAAACATTTTCCAGGTAGCCACCAAATATCATGTTTCCTATACCAACTAAATGGATTTATTTTGGTCTCAGTCTTATAAAAAATGAAGGCGTTTTGTGACCAGTAGCACTGTTACTCTTGATCTTGAAACCTTTTAAATAATAAATGTCAAACACTTAAAAAATATGCAGTCCTCTTGTGAAATCTTGTCTTTCTTTCTTGCCATCAAGACCTTCTTCATCTCCTCTCTGTTTCCTCTCAGGCCGTCTGGAGTTGAGGGAGGACACCATCGAGTCTCTGCTGTCAGCCTCCTGCCTGCTACAGTTGTCGTCTGTGGTTCAGGCCTGCTGTGCGTTCCTCATGAAGCAGCTCCACCCCTCCAACTGTCTGGGTATCCGTTCCTACGCTGACGCTCAGGGCTGCAATGACCTGCAGAGGGCCGCCCACGCCTACACCATGGTGGGTACGCTTCCAGCGACTGAGCGAGAACGTGAATGAAACACCTGAAAATATGGATTTGAAAATGATGATGTAGATTCAGGTAGACCATAGGTGATTTAGGTTTTAACAATGAATGTAAGAACAATAAACATGGTTCTTTCACGACTAGTAGAGAGCTAACTCTATACAGTTTCCCCTGTCAGACTTTGGTCATTTTCCAGCTTTGATTCTTGGTAACAAATTGGTTCCTCGTTCTCAACGCACTACACACCATTATCGCCACAATGGCTGTTTTCAGCACATAGTTGCTATGGTTACTATGAAATAGCTCCTACATCGACTTGATTATTCTTTTTCTTTTCTTGTTCTCTCTTGTCTTTACTTGCCTTTTTTTTCACCCTGCCTCCCTCTGTGTCTCTGTCAGTGTCAATGTTCCTCTCTTTCTTCCTTTCTCTCTCTGTTTCTCTCAAAGTGGATTATTGTTAAACTTTAATCTGAGGTAATTATGTCGTAGAGGTGGCTTTATCTGGGTGTGACTGTCTGTGTCTGTAATTCACATTCAGTATTACAGCAGCCAATGTGTAAGACCTACACAATAGACTCAGTCAAGTCAAGATTGTTTTCTATTCGTTTTTCTTATTTTAATTGTGTATATATGTTGGAATGAGATCATATTTACATGTTATATTTTTCTTGCCCTTTTCTGTTTTCCACATTGAACACTTCTCAAAATATATGAATAGGCACATTAAAAAACAAGCATAAAATAAGAAAACATGTCCATAATAGCTATAGCAAACTATACAGTCACATTAAAACGATGACCATTATTAGTCAATTAGTCAAAAAATTTACCTGCAACCTATTTTGATAAATAATCATTTAAGACATTATCTTGTCCCTGGTTCTTAATTGCGAGGATTGTTTTTTTTTAAATAGATAGTTAACTATATCTCTTTGGGTTTTGGACTGTCCATCCTCCTCTGACCTTTCACAAGCCTTAATTTCCTTCCTTTTCTTCTCTCTCCTTCCGACCCTTGATCTCTTTCCTCTCTCTACTCTTAAATCATCCTGTTGTTTTTTCCGCCTCTCATTCCTTTTTCATCTGCAATTCATTATTCATTCGCCCTTACTCTTTTGAGACAAATCTGACTCTCTCCTCTCTTCTTATAACCATTTCACTTCTCTGCCCACCAGGAACACTTTTTAGAGGTGGTGGGAGGCCAGGAGTTCCTGTTGCTCCCAGTGGAGGAGATGGAGAGGCTGCTCACGTCTGATGACGTCAACGTGCCAGACGAGGAAACCGTGGTAACCTCTCTGCTAACGTGGGTCAGTCATGATGTCGCCACTCGAGAACGTCACCTACCATCGCTGCTGGCTCACATCCGACTGCCACTGCTGCAACCGCAGGTGAGAGATGTGTGGAACTCCGTCTCGCTGCCGTAAATCAGCTGTAATCTATATTTTTATATATATGGTGAAAACATTGCTCGTAATGATGAACCTGCAGAAAATTATCACCTGGATCTGCAGCTCCCTATGGATATACTGAGCTTTATAGCGATTTTGTTTAGCTGTCTGATCTGCTGATACTGTTTTGGTACACTGTCACAGCATTATTATTAAATTTTTTTTTGCAGCATAAAGCTGTTTTCGGGGGGAAAAAAAGCTGTACACTACCTGCTCAGTAGCAAAAAACAGACAGACAGACACAGTTAGCGACTATAGCCAACATAGTGGAGTATTTAGCAGCCCTTCCCTCGGGAGTTGGTAGAGACCAAAAACAAAGTTAGAAGAGGCTCAATATTGGACTTCATCTGGTGGACAGAAACATGACTCCAATTAAATGATGCTGTTACTCTGGATGTAAATGAGCAACTGTTTGTCAACCAAGAAACTTAAAAGGTGATAAAATCTATTATTGCAGGTTTAATAAGAAGGGATGTACCCATCCAACTTTTTCTCTAATATTACATTATCCAATACTAGTTTTTCCAGCTTTATATCTATCTGAATAAATCTGTATATATGCTGCAGCAAACTCATTCAGCTCTTCATGACAAAATGTAACTGATGGAGGAAACATTGAGTTTTAAAATGACATTGACAATAAATCTGTAATAATGTGGATTGTGTCATGAGCAATACCTGATCCACTCGTGAGGTTAGTATTCGCACTGATGCTGATTTGTTGTATCAGTTCGATACACCCTATAATTAATGATAATTAGAGTAAATTAAGCTTGTACAACAGTTTTATGTCTGTCAGTGTCACTACATTATCAGCCTCCTCTCTCTTTGTCTCTCCATCTTCTCCTTTTTCTCTTCCCTGTTGTCTCTTTTCCCTCTCACACTCTTAAATCAGTTAAATGAGCAACAATGAATCTGTATCTTGCCCAGAAGCAAACCACGAAAAGATTAAGTGCGTACACAAACAAGAGCACCTTAGTTGTGTACTCTGTTCATGAGGTTGTTGTCCATTTGTCTTGGTGTGTCGCATTAATTAAACACTTTTTCAGGCTAAAACTTTACCACATTAATAGTGTAAGAGCTTTCTCAAGTTGTTCATGTCCTAATATCTCCTTCAGCAAAGAGTGCAGCAGTTTTCCTCCTGATGAGCTGCTGGTCTTTTTCCACTCTCTATCCTCTTTAGGCAATTAGAGGAACTATAGCCATTACGCTCACCATAGATCTCAACCATTACTTTGTCAGGTGTGTGTATATGTGTGTAAGTGTGTGTGTGAGTGTGTGTGTCTGTGTGAGTGTGTCTCTGCGCTCTATCTCCTCCTCCCTCCTCTTCCCAGCTTGTGTTGCAGAGTACTGTATCTTGACTGGTAATGTGATGCTGAGAAGTTTATATGCTGGGCAGAACCTCAGTTACTGCCTAGGGCGTTGGATGCACTCACACACACAAACACGCACACGCACACACACACACACGTTTTAAACCTTAATTAAGTGTGATATCTCTCTTAACTGCAGCTAAATTATCTGTTCTCTTCATCTCCCTCATCAGTCATTTCCCTCACTATATATAAAGAAAATGTAGAGATAAAACTCCCCTTGTGGCCCTCCCCTCCTCTTTCCATCTTCTCTGCCTGCGCCTATACATCTCCCAGGTTTGCAATTGTGCAGTACAGTACGAACACCTCAGATATATGGCTTTGCCCTGGTCAGCTGAAATCACAAGTAGCTGTAACATGTAATCAGGGGAGAAGATGGATGGCAGAGCAGTGAAGCAGTGGAATAGCACCAGAGCAGAGAGCGCAACAGCAAGACAGACATAAAGCTGAGCGTTGATTCAAGCTCTAACAGTGTATCACCGTTATCACTACTGCCACCACCATGCTAAACTGACCGACATTCAACAACCTCATGTGCTGTGAAATGGCAATAAAACGACGTATAAACCTCACACAGACAACCGATCAATATTCATCAACCAATTAGTCAGCTCTCTATCTGGCCTGCTGTGCGATTACTCATCAAGAGGAGTCAATACACCAGATTAATACCGTTTAATCCCTTCTCCACATCACCACTATCACACATACAAAAACATACACACACACACACACAATTGGTCTAATCTGCTCAGACGAGCATCTGTGGGCTGTTAATCAGCGGATTTATGGAGTGTGTCAAAATTACAAATGTGAACCTCATGATGGCGCTACAGGAAAAGTGAGTGGACCAAAAGTCAGCATGCTTCATCCTCAGGGGACATTGACATCCATCTAAAATGACAAAATTAAATGATTGTCAAAAACTACTTGATTAATTGACTAATTGTGTCAGCTCTAGTGTGTGTGTGTCTGTCTGTGTGTGTCTCTCTCTGTGTGTGTAGGTGTGGCAGGGTGTTCATGAAAGATGGAGACAGACAGGTGCTAGTAAGAGCATGTCTTGAAGGGGAAATGAAAGACTAGAAAAGCATGAAAAATATACATGGCTGGGAGATGTGTGTTTGTGTGTCCGTGCTGTCTTTTATGTCCAAGTGTGAGCTATAACCGAGAGGGGAGCACTACTTTCTCACTGCCCACTGTGAGGTAAAGAGAGGACAGAGAGGAGAAGGTGGGATGCCTGCAGCATTTAGTCTTGCCCTCCACATTCAGTCGTTCACGGTGCGATGGTTAAATAGCACAGCAGAGGACAATCACAGTTTTCTATCTCCTTCTTTATCACACACACCCACAAATGAATCCCGAAATAGGGTTCTCCCTAATTTGTCCCAGGGTTATTGTATGCAATGGAAGCGTGGGTTCACCCCGGCGTGTAAGCTGCTTATCCATTTACCATGCTTGCTTTACGCTCTCCACGTCTGGCTGGGGAAATTGATTTTATATTCAGTGTCCAAATTGAATTATTTAGGCCGAATCTTTCTTTTCTTGGTGGTTTGACTGAATTACGGTGGAGAGCATGGAGGAAAAAGGGTGTAAAAAATAATTTTTGTAAAATCTTTTATCAAATATCCTCTATTATACTTGTTACTCTGTGACTGGATCTTGAGCAGCCATTTCTGAACGTCTCCCCACTAACTTAGCTTCAGCCAACGCACACATGCACACATCTATACACACAGTCTGGAAACTTCCAATGACTTTCAAAAAAAAAATCAATCTCCTCAGGAACCTCTACTGGGTTTCATCTGTTAACACACACACGTACGCAAACACACACAAACACACATCTATCTAAATGTAAATCATGTAATTCATGCCTTCTTGCCTTGAGGGAAAACTTGCCTCTCACCACCCTGCCTCTCTCACAGGCAGTGATTTCCTGTGGATGTATTTTAAGGAACAGACTGGTGGATTGAAGGCTTCATGCTGCAGCCCCTGGCTGCCTCTCTCTGTGTGTGTCTGTGTCTTCTGTGTGTGTGTGTGTGTGTGTGTGTGTGTGTATGTGTGGGATTGTAGATGAGGTTAGAGGGTCTGGACTAGAAAGCTGATGAGATGTTGAGGACAGATTAGTCCTCTAGTGTGTCAGATGATCAGTGTGTGCACTGTGTGTGTGTGTGGTGGTTGTTTGTGTGTGATCACTAATGGCTGCTGGTCTGATCTGATCTAATCTCTCAATCAATGAGAGAACAGCTTTCTTTCGACCCTCAGACCTCCACAATCAGTGAAAACATCGTAGCCCACACTCGTAGTGCACACACCCTGCTTTTGTTTCAGCTGCTTGTTGATAGCAGTTGTCACATGTCCCTGTGTGTTCATGTGTGTTTTTTTCTGTGTGTGTAGTTCTTGGCAGACCTGGAGTCCAACCCTCTCCTCCGGGACAGCATGGAGTGCCAGCGGCTGCTGATGGAGGGGATGAAGTATCACCTCTTGCCTCAGCGCCGGCCCCTGCTTCAGAGTCCCCGCACCCGACCCCGCAAAGCAACCGTTGGGGCCATGTTTGCCGTAGGGGGCATGGACGCTACGAAAGGTAGAACAGTCGCTTAACCATAATTCACAACCAGACATTACATATTACATACAAGTTAGTAATTAATCGATTAGTAAATCAACAAAATATTCATCACTAATTTATTAATTGAATAAATTTTCAAGCAAAAATGCCAAAACATTTCTGGTTCAAGTTTCTCAAAAATGCTTTTCTTGTATATAAGAAAATTAGTGGGCAGAGTAATCTATAATGAAAATAATTATTAGTGGCAGCCCTAATGTTAGACCCTTAGGCAGCAGGATGTACAGTATAATTAAAGATCGGAACATTCTCTGACATTTTCTCTTAATCATGGCTATGAAATAATTATCTTATAATTATTAGGCTTTTTTCTGGTTCTCATGAGAAACCACATCTTTAGTGGAGATCATCCTAAACAGACAAACAAATTGAAGTAATATAGTCTTACACACTCTACACATTGTGTCAAGAATTGAAAGCAAAATGACAAATAGAAAATTACGGATGAATGCACTAGAGCAGGATGTAGCCACAGGCACTAACTCCATATAGCTGGACAGTTCAAGCACCACAATTTGTATTTGACATTGCTTTTATTTTGTTTTCTCCAGGTGCTACTAGCATCGAGCAGTACTGTCTGCGTCGGGACACATGGAGGCAGGTAGCTACCATGAGTGGACGGAGACTGCAGTTCGGTGTAGCTGTCCTTGACGATCGTCTGTATGTGGTGGGTGGCCGAGATGGACTCAAGACACTGAACACTGTGGAGTGTTACAACCCGCACAGCAAGACCTGGAGCGTCATGCCCCCCATGTCCACACACAGGCACGGCTTAGGTGAGCCTTGTTTGAACAGAAATGTGCTTGGAAACATTGATAATATTTGTGTTGTTTTGTTATTTTTGAATGTGGCATTACTCGAGTATCTTAAAGAGAAATGTTGCCATATTTTGATTGACTTGTTTAATTATTTTTTGTTAAAATTTTCTTTTCATGTGAGGTCAAAGCTCAGTTTCAGCTGCATAACAGCCCCTCTGCAGTAAGTGATTTATATGCTCAAGAGCACTTCAACAGAGTGGACTGAACCTGTGTTATCTTGTTTGGAGGACAGTCTCCCCAGTCACTGTGCAAGCCTATTATTATAATGACAAAATGTGATAAGGCGTGCTGTGCTGGTGCTTCATTGTTTTTATAAATGTGTGCATGTGTGTGTGAACGGAGGTGGGGATTAAAACACACATCTGGCACCACAGATGTTCAGGCAGATAAATCCCTTGAGTATGGAGGTGTCAACATGCTGCTAACTCTGCACGCCTAATGCCCTTGGTGTGGTTGCACACGCAATAAAAACTCACACCTTCATCCTTAACGTGTGTGGTTTTATGAGCTTGTCCGAGCTTGTAGTGTTTTGGTAAGTTGCCATGATTTAATCGTGCGTATGTGGTTGTGTTTCGCAGGTGTAGCCGTCCTGGAGGGGCCCATGTACGCAGTAGGAGGACATGATGGCTGGAGCTACCTTAGCACAGTGGAAAGGTAAGACGATATTTCACACACTAAAGGGTCAGTTCAGCAATATTACAAAAAATACATATTTTCTCACTTACCTCTTTGGTATCTAGCAGATAGGGTTTGGTTTTTAATAATAAAAGCTGTTAACAGCACTTTCTGTGGATTATGAGTAACACCGGCACTGTTTTTGTGATGTCGCTGCTGAAAGATGCAAAGATGTGAAAATACAATCTCTTGACTGTGCTGTGTATTTCACCACTTGATGGAACATTTTTTATAAATTAGCCTTGTTTTATCATGCGCAGGACTGAGAAGTTGTTTACCTAATTTTTATTAGGTGGGACCCCCAAGCTCGCCAGTGGAGCTTTGTTGCCAGTATGGCCACACCCAGAAGCACAGTGGGAGTAGCTGTACTCAATGGCAAGTAAGTGAGCTCACACATTGTTTCATACGTCTACGTGATATAGATATCCTACTATACAACTATGTCCAAGCTTTTGGTTGTTTGTTTGGGACATCTGTTTGTTGACATCTTGTTCTTGTTGCTGTGGATCCTGTATGCATCTACTGCAAGTCGCTTCGGACAGAAGTGTTTAAAAAATCTATGTAATGTAATAGATTGTTGACATTTTTAACAGAAATTATACAAAAATTGTCTGACTGTACTTACTGTACTGTCCAAAAAGTCACTATAGTACATAGCATCTGTATGCCACAAAAATACTGCTCTGGAAAATGCTTTCTTTTCAATATATCAATATCAAATAGGAATGGACAAGCTGACAATACTCAGTCACACACATACACAAATGCACATTTTAATAGTGCGATTTGAAGTTCAGGTCTTGAATCTCCTCACTTGCCCCAGCAGCCGACAGTAGAATTTATTAGAATCGCAATATCTCACCGTTGTTTTTATTATTCAGTGCCTCAGAGAGACGCTACAGAGAAACGCTTTATAGACGCTAATTAATACAGAAACAACTGATTTGGTTAAGCATGCCCAACAGAAGTGTGTGTCTGCGCGTGTGTGTGTGTGCCAGGCTGCGTGTGCATGTATGTGTTGTGTATTCTCTGGGCTCTTTTCCTGATGGATCTCATTACTTGCTTGACTGGTTTTGATCCACTTCTTCCTTCGCCCTCCCAACTCCACACACAAGGATATTTCTACACACACACACACACACACACACACAGGAAGAGTGACTGCTTGGGGTTGTGATGCCCCAAGAGTGTTAGCTGATTGATTTTGTTCACCTCACTTTGTCCCCAAATCGTACACACACACCCACACGCACACATACACACACACACACCTTGTACCATCTGTTTCAGTGTCACAAAATTGAAACGGGACTTCCAAAGTCCAGATATGTGTGCAGTGTTTTGTGTGTGTGTCCAGAGAGATAACACCATCTTCTGTCTTTCTCAGGTTGTATGCAGTAGGAGGTCGTGACGGCTCATCCTGCCTGCGCTCAGTGGAGTGTTTCGACCCCCACACCAACAGGTCAGAGACAAGGGACTTCATTTGACCAGAATTAATTGCCGTCTTCTGCTTTATTTCCTGTCTGCTGTTCTGTCTAGTGAAGGGAATCTGTGCTTTTAAGGTTATTTACCCACAGATCAAAGGAGACAGCTAACCCTCCCAGGACGTTAGAATAGACTTCATACAGCTAACAGCTTCTGTTTATCAAGCACATTCATTATGGTCTTCACTGGAGGGGCTGAGACGAGGCTCGTATTGGTCCCTGGCAAATAATCTCCTGAACACATTTTGAGTCAGAACATTTGTAATATTTTCCTAAATGATGGAGACAGTGTGAAAAGCTGTTTTTTTTCTCCCAATCTCAACATCTACAGGTGGAACGGTTGTGCTCCTATGGCTAAAAGGCGTGGAGGTGTGGGTGTGGCCACATGGCATGGCTTCCTGTACGCCATCGGAGGTCATGACGCTCCGGCCTCGTCCCTCGCATCACGTCTAAGTGACTGTGTGGAGAGGTGAGTCTATGTCTATGTCTATATATATATATATATATATATATGTGTGTGTTCTGTCATTCTATCAAGGAGATGTAACAGATGTATCAATGTGTGTTGCTGTTTGGTAGTGTAGATGTAGATTTTTTGCTGTCTTTTTCATGTGATTTGTGTTGTATTCAAGGTCTTTTAGATGATGGCTGTTTTCAAAGTTGCTATATAAAATTAGATTAGATTAAATTAAATTAGATAAATTAGATTATAACATCTAGTTTGTTTCCTCTGTCATTGTTGTTATTTCACTGGAAGGCACCAAAGAACTTTTTAATTCGATTTCATTAGCTTAGCATAGCATCAAGACTGGAAGTGGGTAAACAGCTTGTCTGGTTCTGTCTACAGTTCAAAAACACAACTACCAGCACCTGCAAATTTCACCAATTAACATGTTGTATCTTGTTTGTTTAACTGATACACAAACAGTTTATCAATCTGTCCAGCACATTTGTGCCTCCAGCTGTAGCTCAAGTTGCCAGATACAATCAATGAGCAAGCTTTGTACAGACACAATGATACCATACTGTGCCAAGAAGCAGGTACAGCATTACGGCAACTCCTACTAAAATCACAAATTGTCATTTATAGATTAAACAAATGAGATAACACATGATACTTAAAGAGCTTTAGAAGTTCTGGCAGTGTATTTTTGGAGAGCTAGACTAGACGTTTCCCCCTGCTTTCAGTCTTTATGCTAAGCTAAGCTAATCACCTCCAGGCTC